TTAAAATGAATGTAAATCTAGTCAAATCCATATACAGACTGTATATGAGCTAAAAGAATTGTTCCAAGGTCAGCTTCCTGGTTTTGACAGTGTTCTATAGCTGTGTAAAATTTTATTGTTTAGAAAATCTGAGTGAAGGGTATTCAAGAACTCTGTAACTAACTACTTGCAACTTGTGAATGATGAACTTTAAAACAGAGTTACATAAAAATAAAGAAAAAGAAAAAAAAGTGCCTTAGCTTTGTTCTTGGCTTGCTCCCATGATTGAATTAATGGGAAGAGTGTCAGAATTGGTGTACTAAGGAAAAAGAGGGTTATGTGCTAAAATAAAGAGACAGATGTTCAAAGACACAGAACATACAATGGGATAAATTCCAAAGAACCAGGTCCTTAACGAGAGAGACATCAAAATGACAGGATGATCTTTTTGCCTCCTCAAGTTGAATAGCAGTGGCTTGACATAAGACATGAGAGGAAAATGCAAGATTCATTTATTTATGTCCTCTGATTTTATTCTGTCTATACTAAATCTCTTTGCAGTAAATGCTGAAAATGTCTTAAGCAGGTTCAGGTATGTTTGTCTAGGTTCTGAGAACAGGGTGGGACACAAAGGAAGTCTCTCTCTCCTCTAGTAGTCCTCATGCCTGGGGCAGCAAGAACAGAGTGATGCTTTCTCTTTCATAAACCCTGAGGACAGGAGGTAGCAGGCACCACCTTTTTAATTATCTCAATGATCATTCCCAGAGGTAAGGAAAGCAATGTGGTAAAAGGTGTCAGAAGGAGTTGATGTTAAGGTTCCAGTTTTGTGGACTGTGTTGTAGAAGAAGGAAATTGGAGATTGAGCTGTAGAAAGGAAATAATTGTAATGTCCGTGATTCCCTAGGGCAAAGAAAAAAATACACAAATATGTGTTTTTATATTTAAAAATTAAATGTAGGCCAATAGTTTTTAAAATCATCTATTTGATGAAAACTTTGCCACAGGCAGGAATAGTATTTTTATTGTATTAAGATGCTCATTTAAATTTTGCTTACTACCAAAGGCAGTTATATGCATAGGAATATAAGAATTAAAAATAGTTCTTCTGCCCACGCATCTGATGAGCCCCAATGAACAGACATTAAGGCTAATAAAGAGCTCTCTCAAAAAGTTTTCTGGTATTCACCCTGTTTGGCTTTACAGTTACTTGAGAGTGCTGGGAAAGACTTTCTCATTGTAGCTATAATTTTTTTTTACAGTAATTCTCATTTTAGACCCTCTAAATCCAAGGATCATTTGTGCTCCTGGGAAGAAATCCTACATAATTTCAAGGTATAATCAGTTTAGGCAAAACTTGCAACAGGAAAGTAAGGGATGGTGTTGAGTGAACTTTACTCCTTCCTTCATCTTATATAGAATCATGCCAATTTTTGCTTTAACAGCCATGGTTTCTACACTTATTTCATAATTTCCCAGGATATGCATATTATCTACAGAGGGTTATTTCATTGTTGAATTTCATTTAAACTTTGAGAATTCTTTATTGTAGATGTGAGTTCTTGGTCAGGTATGTGGTCTTCAAATACTTTCTTCATGTCTGTAGCATATCTATTTCTAGAACAAAAGCTTTTAATTTTAATGAAATTAAACAAATTTTCTTTTATTCATCATGCTCTTGGTGTCCTTTCCAAAAATACTTCTCCAAACTTTAGGCCTGGAAGATTTTCTCTCGTGTCATCTTATACATTTTACATTTAATCGTATGCCTCATTTTGAAATAATTTGTATTTTAAACATCTTAATGTGATACATAAAAGCATTAAAATTGTACACATTTATGGAATTCCATGAGATGTACTGATACATGCACATATTATATAATGCTTCCATCAGGGTAAACATACCTATCTTCTCAAGCAGTTATCATTTCTTTACGTGAAAACATTCAGAATCCTTTCTTCTAGCTTTGTGAAATATTTAGCACATCATGGGTATGTGTAGTCACAGTCAACCTATTGCTCAGTAGCACACCAGAAATTCTTATTCCTATCTTAAATAATCTCTGTCTTAACATGTGGAGTTGGGGGGTCAAGATTTTTTTTCTTAACTAAGCCAGCCAGGGATGTTAAAACTGTTTCAGCACCATTTGTTAAAAAGGCTTTTCTGCCTTAATTGGATTGCTTTTGAACCTTGGTCTAAAATCAGTTGGGCATATTTGTGTGGGTGTATTCTTGGTTCTCTATTTTATTCCATTGGTCTGGCCTATTTATTTATCCTCTGCCAATACTGCAAACTCCTTATTAGGGTAGCTATATAACACATCTTGAAGTCAGGCAGAGTGATTTCTTCTACTTTATTCTTAATTGCATTAGCTATTGTAATCTCTTTGCATTTCCATATAAATTTAAGAAGACTCTTCTCTCTACTGAAAATGTCTTGCTGTGGACTGGAGATGTGCCTTAGTGGTAGAGTACCTGCCTATCAAGTAAGTAGCCCTGAGTTTGGACCCAGGTATTGCCAAAAAAAAAAAAAAAAGAAAAAGAGTCTTGCTGTGATGTTAATAGAAATTTTGTTAATATAGGCTGAATTTTGACAAATGTTTTTTCTACATTAAGTTTTATGGTCATATGGCATTTCTTCTTTAGCTTGTTAATAAGGTAACTTACATTGATTGATTTCTGAATACTGAATCAGCCTTTTGATTGTGTACCTTCTCACCAAAACTCTCATGAACATGGATATAAAAATTTTAAGTGGAATTAGCAAGTTTTTTGGTTTTCTGTTGTTGCAGCCACAAGTTACCATAAACTTCAAGGCTTAAAACAGAAAAGAAAAAAAAATGTATTCTCTTACCCCTTTTGGAAGTTCAAAGTCAATTTCACTGGGCTAAAGTAACTTTGTTGCAGGGCTGGTTTTTTCCAGTGGCTCTAGGAAGAATCTGTTTCCTTGCCTTTTCCAGTCTCCAGGGCCCACATACATTCTTAGGCTTGTGGCCTCTTCCTTCATATTAGCATCTTCAAATCCCTCTGACCCTCTGCTTCTGTGGTGACATGACTCTCTTTCTAATTACTGACTACTCCTGCCTCCTATTTGTCAGAAAATCTTCCCACTCAGGATCCTTTAGTCATACCTTATATGGCAAAGTCCCTTTTGCCATATAAGGTAACAGATTTCACAGTTTCTAGGGAATAAGAGGTAAACATCTTGAAGGGCTCTTTTTCAGTCTATCACAATCTTTTTTTTATGTACTATCTTTTTCAGCTTTTGTATCGGGGTAATACCAGGTAGTTTCATTTTTATCTTTGTAACAAAATTCTGCTGTGCTATTACATTTCAAATTTTGTATTTTTCCTGTTGATGCTTTCTTGTAAGTTTATAATATTGCGAACAATGCTTCTGTGGCAATGTTGATGCATATTACATTCTTTTAGCCTAGGTATACTGTCATTACATAACAAACACAATGCTGTGCCATGTAATTTAATAACAAAAATAAAATATACTTCACTATGTCTTAAAAGTGTGAATGGCCATTCTTCTCTTCTTTTCTTGCTTTGACATGATGGGTATGCACTGTTATTTTTAAAAATTGCACTAAGGCAGTATTTGTAGCTGTTGAAGTCTTTCAAGTTATAACTGTGTCATTGTGACTTGTAGTGTGCCAAGTAATAGTGAAAAGTGATGAGAACACCACATACTGTCTCTGCCTCAACTACTCATCGCCTACTGAATACTATATTGTGAAAGCAGCCACAAATGACATATAAATAATTGAGCATCACCATGTTCCAAAAAATTTATTGATAGACATTAAAATTTGTTTTTCATGTAATTTTTACATGCTACACAATGTCATTCTCCTTTTGTTCTTTTAACCATTTAAAAATATAAAAACCATTCTTAACTGTGAGTGATTTAAAAACAGGTGGCAGGTCAGATTTGGCTATGGGCCATAATTTGCTAACCCCTGCCTTAATCTCACGGAACCTACATTCTAATGGGAGTAGGGAGAAGAAAATAAGCAGAAGAATCAGTTAAAAACAGATATTTTTATATTATAAAGAAATTAAACAGTAAAACGGCCTATGAAGGAATGGGTAAGGTAAATCTGAATGATGTCTACTTCAAGACAACAATGAGGGAAGTTGAATACAGAGTTTTCCAGAAAAAGAAAATACCACAGACAAGTACATGAGGTAGGCACAAGTTTAGTGAATTAGAGGAGCTAAAAATATATAGCAGGATCATAGTGAAGAGGTAGAATGAGGTGGGAATTTTCAGTATTCAAAATAAGGATGATACATCATGGTTAAGAATGGACTTAAAATTAGTTGATCACAGTAGGAATTCTGTCAGGTCTAGCCTAATTTTACACAGTAAGGTTGTGGTCCCTTATTGTATGTGACTCCATTCAGCACTGTGAATTTAAAAGAGGGAGAAGGAGAGGGAGAGGGAGAGGGAGAGGGAGAGAGAAAGAAAAAGGAGGAGGAGGAGGAGAGTAGATAACAATTGAACCACACAATTCATTTCACTAAATTCTTGCTCATCCACAAGTTATGAAGCTTCATTTTATATCTGCTTATAGTACAAGTATTTTGCTCACCAGATCACTTAAGGAACTTATAGTAGTTTTATGTAAAAAGTCTAGTTTCCTAATAAAATTTAAAACATTAAATCCTTTGTTTACAGTTTTTTCTTTTCATACTCAAACCAAGTTGTGTGTGCCAAGCATTCTAATTTCTTCTAATGTACTGGAAGGAGAATCATTTTTAAGTTTGCTTTGATTTGTGGCAATATTTGCATTCAACAATCAAATTCTACACTATTTCCTTTTAAATGGCTATGTACTTAATTAGTTTCACTTGTTCAGCAATTAATTAGTTTCAGAAACTTCTTATTTTGCTACTAAACCTGACTATTGATAGCTGGAGCAGATACTATATCCAGATTGCAATGCATGTTTTCCAATCACACCACATAAAGTTTGCACATCTGAAAAAAAAAAGCTGTCCATTGTAATATCATCTACTATCTTTCATAATTGCAAAATATCCTTCGACTAGTTTCTTGTTTTCATTTATTTTCTCCAGTATTGCTTCTAATAAATATGAGGCAAAAGGAAGCTGAAAGAGAAACACAAAAAAAAAGGTTACCAAAGATCTGTATTTTTTTCAGTTCAAAAACATACACTAAATATCATTAAAACATTAGAATTTAGCTGCTATTTGTACCCATAATAGTACCCTGCTGTATCTCTTTTCAACTGATCTTGCTGGTTAGTAGGGGCAATTTTACCTTTTCTAATAAAAATGATAAAAGAGCAGAAGTAAAATGAAAAAAGATAAACGCCTTATTGAACAATTCATGGTTTACTGACCATGTTAATGATGTAATCTGCAATACAAGCAGCTAAGCCATTTATCTTCAATCAGCTGATCAATAGCAGGTTGCAGTCATCTCTAGGGCATGAAGGCCCACAGTAGTACTGTATGTTCATCACTCATAAAAGAATGAGAGAGAACTATCAATATGCTTGTCTGTGTGAGACCTGAACACCTTAAGAGCTGCAGGATAAAACTTCAGAGGGAAAAAATGGCAAAAGTATACCCATTGATCAAGTTGTTAAAGTTTGTTTGGTATATCAAAGTGTCATACACATGTTTCAAAAACTGCTGAGTTTATGAAATATGAGTACATTTTAAAATTTCATAATTGATATAACTTTTCTGGTAGTTTTATTGTTCCCTCTGCTTCACCGGTTTGTCAGTAGAATCTGGACTGATACCACATAGTTACAGGCTGTAAGTAAAGAAGATCTGATATGTTGCCTCAATTACCTCTTCCTAACTCTTTTTGTCCATGTTCCTAGTGATTCAGTCTCACATAAGAGGTCTGTTATAATTAACAAGCTCAAGTATTTCTTAGACTTATCCTTTTGATTAACCAGGAAAGACTATTTTTATTTCCCTGAATATATTAATGAGAAAGCTTACCATGCCCAGCCCCTCCCCTACAGGGAGGCACCATCAGGCTCTATTTTCTGCTACAAAAAAAAAATAATAGCCTCATTGTCAGCATCTAAACAAAGACAACACTATGTCCTCTGTATGGGCTGCTCAGCTAAGGTGATTATAATTAGATAAATCAATCAGAATGGTTCTTTCCTGAATTCAAACTGGTGAAAAGAGAAAATATTGGCAGTGCAGTGAAACTACAAGGCAGAACAGGCCAAACAAATAGATCACGTGAACCACTGGGGAGAACTAGAGAGCAGAGAGCTGGTGCCCAGAACTACCTGCTTCTAAACAGCTCTCTAGCTTAAGCTCCTTCATACATTCACAATAGTTAGCCTTCTCCTTAAGGCAGTATGAGGTGTGTCTATTTCCCTGAAATACAAGGGCTTCATGCATCTCTCTTACTTGAAACTCAAGAAACTCACTGAAGAAAGTATATGAAAGTAGAACATTTTTCTCAGTTCTAAGATACACCTAAATGTAAGATATATACATTGACCTAAAAACAGCTTTTCTAAGGGGGACACCCATCACATTTAGCATACACACACTGCAGTGCATTTCAATTTCAGAAATATGAAAAAATAGAAAATGTGCATTCAAGAAAAAAAGAATATATTCAATTCTCTCCTGGAAGATAATGACACTATTAAATTCTTGCTTTGACAAATTGCCCTTCTGGGATGCAGAAAAGAATTACACTTGGTAAAACTGCCAGTTTTATAAATAAGATAATTTAAATCTTTAGGGCATTAATATTAATATTGTTAAATACACAATAAAAATGACAAGACAACTGGGTAACTTTCTTTTATTCAAACTATATCACTCAGTACCATATGCATTTCAATCTAAAAGAAAGATAAACAAGATAGGAATAACCTTCCATTCCTTAGTGGTAGAAACAAGTTTGGGAAACAAAGCAAATTTTAAAATAGTTTCTTTATTTCAGAACCTCTTTCAGTCTTCAAATACACTTTGGGAAACATTCTGATTGCATAATTTCCTGAATAAGAAAGTCACAGCACTTTCACCAGGCAACAATGTACTGACAGTCATCTTGTTTGCAAATTTATTTTTGTACAAAATATCCAAATCTTTTTTTATTATCTTGTGATTAAACAATTTTCAGCACATTCTGTATTTGGACATTTTGCTTCCCTTCAAAAAACCTCTCAAAGAGCTTCCTTTTCAGGAACCCCCAGTGTGGAACAACAGGACCACTGACTACTTAAAGCAATGATTTCCCTTACTCTTTCCCTCTGGTTACCAGTAAAGCTAAAAGCCCTAAACTTAAACACACCTGTTTGTCAATCCTGCTTTACTGGGTTGTAAGCTTCTTTAAGCTTTGTATAGAGGTTAACACATTATGGAATTCAAAAAGCAGTGAATCCTTTAAGTCAAGACGGTATACAGTATGTGCATAATTGCCCTTGCTGGTTCTTGTATTTTTTCCCAGCAACAACACAGAATAATAATATTATTTGCCCTTATATAATTTTTATTTAATTTAAAAAGCTCTCATATATATAAGTTGGTGTGATTTTAAAAAAATTTAATTCAGTTTTCTCTCTTTTTCTTTTCTTTTCTTTTTTTTGGTGCTGGGAATCAAACCCAGGGCCTCCCACTTGCAAGAGCTCTACCCCTAAGTCCTTTATTTCCCTTTTTAAAAATAAATCAATCCCAACAGCTTTTTTCTCTAAACTCAGCATTATTCTGATTGCTGTTCATAAACTTATGGTTTACTGGTAACTGCAGATCCAATTCAAAGTAGTCTTTCAAAAATTAGTTCTTAAAAATACATAAGGCTCAGTCACAATGAATGTAATTTATAATAAAAGTATAATAGAACATGTTTGTAATAGCTGAACTACTCTATAGAACTTGGGAAAGGAGGGAAAGTAAAAGAGAAAGATGGAGTGTCAACAATATGATAAAACAACATCTGTGAAGATAGATGTTATAACGATTGGTATTGAAAGCTGTTGAAAAGAGGGGTGGGAGGCAAGAGATAAAGGAGAGTAAAGGAAGGGGTTGAACAGACCAAAGTAAAGTATAATCACAGCAGGGATACATGGAGAAACCTCTTTGAACATTGACATAGAAATTAATAATGAAAGACAAGACTGTAAAACTAGTACAGTGTGTGTGGAGTGGGGTACTTGTGGGAGGGGAGAGGGTGAATGAATGAGATTAAGGTGAGGGAATATGGTTGGTGGACTTCATATAACTATTATGAAACAGAACAATGAAACCTCTTGTAATTGCTTGAAGTAGGGCAGGGATGGGCATCGGAGGGCTAGAGATAGTGGGGGCCATCTAACCAATGTACAATATAAGCCTATTCTGAATTGTCACAATGAATGCCCCCTGTACAATGAATATATCCTAATAAAAATAATGTAGTTTTATAATAAAATAATTATTTCAAAATAAGTTTAGAGGAAAACTCAGAATTATTAAACATTTTATAAGTCAGGGTTATAAAAGATCTCATAATGTATTTTTTCAAATAAATATGAATTAACTGTTAAAATGAAAATATTTTGAGTAGATGCCTCTGCTACTTGACAAACAGTTCCTTTTTTTATGACAGTTTTAGCTTTAAAAATAGTCTCTCTAAATTTATACTATTTATTTAGCAAACTTTTTAATAAGCTGTAAAAATAAAATTTTATGCTTAGTCTATGGTGAATTAATAAAATCTCTTCTGAGAATGGTTAAGAATAAGATTTTCAAGTTAACTGACTATTTTGGTCAGTTGAGAGTTACCACTTACCTCACATACAGGTTACCATTAATTTTTAAATATTATAAATTTTTGTTAACCTGAAGGTTAGATGAAACATAATTTAGTCTTCATTGATTCAAAAAAGCTCTTCACAATCTTACAGAATCACAAATTGTTTAGTTAGGACTTAAACTACACTTTGGAAAATACAAATTCACATGGTTTGCTTATTTGATTGTTGTTTTTCTTTTTTGGGGGGTGGTACTGGGGTTTGAACTCAGGACCTCACACTTGTTAGGCAGGTGCTCTGCCACTTGAACCATTCCACCATCCTTTTTTTGTGTTGGATATTTGTGAGAAAGGATCTCCTGAACTATTTGCCTGGGCTGGCCCTGAACCAAGATCCTTCTAATCTTTGCCTCCCAAGTAGCTAGGATTACAGGAGTGAGCAACCAGCACCTGGCTTATTTGTGATATTTTTTAAGGTGTAAATGTTTTAAAAGACCAGGAGACCTGAAACCTCTGTTCCTCTGGAGTCCAGATTAAGTGCAAATTTGTTTCCTATAGGCTCTTTACAGTTAATTACATTATGCCCATATGCATTCTGGAAGGGGCAAAGCCTCCCCCCAAAGTCCTTTTAGTAGCAAGATTTTAGAGTTGGATTTAAGTGGCAACTAGACTGACCAATAGCAAAGAATTCACTTCCACGCAATTAAGTACATCTGAAAAACAAGCCCAACAACTGAGCTGACTTAGTTTTCAGCTTGGATGGCATGTGCCATAGATTACAAACTCCAGAGAGCCTTCATGATTTCTTTCTTTTGTATAAAAAGGAAAAGCAATCCTCCTGGTCCTGTCAGTGCAGTTACACAAGCTTCACCTTTCTGGCATCAGGGGGAAAATGGTGAAGATTTCATATTGAGTGACATTTCTTAGTATGGAAATTTACCTGGGACCTCTGAACAACTAAAAGTTTTCCTTGGTCTGCCTGTAGTCTTAAGACAGGTCTTTCTATTGGTTCTGGCTTTCCCTGTTGCTGAAGGTGATTTCTATTACAGAAGGATTTTCCCTTGTGTCACACAGATTTTCAGTTTCTCTCATACATAAACATCTACAGATGTTTGCTTTGAGGAACTGGGATACTGCTGTCAAAATCTTAGATTTGTCACTCATATTTTAGAAACTGTGGCTGGTGCATCTATATATAAAGGAGAGACATAAATGATATTGCCGATGTTTGAAAGGTGCTTTGGAAAAACAACAAAGCCTAATGTCCATAGCCACAAAACACATAGGTAACTGACAACATCAGCACTACGTGGAACATGCTCTTAATAACTTCAAATTGAAAAGTTTTGTGTTGAAAGAAAAAATTAAG